CTTTCCCTTTTTTTTTTCAAAAAAAATATATTTAGTGTTCATATAAAACCTATTTCTGGTCCAAAAATTATACACCATTACACACATATATATATTATAAGAGAATCATGATTTCCTCATTCCTTATGAAATCATAGAATTTGCACCTGACAAGCAACCACTTCAACTCCAACTAATCCTATAAAAACCCATAACAGACCAAACCCACACAAAAACAGACAAACAAAGAATGACTTACCCAACTTCATGTTTGATCCTCTTCTCATGTTCTCTGTCTCTTCTTCTGTCATTCTCCAATGCAGGAAGCAGACCTCCACACAGTCCGTCTTACTACTCCCCGGCCGCCTTTTCTCCCGCAGCATACGATTTCTTCCACCCGAAATCGCATTCTCATTCCCCCGAAAACCCGAGAAACTCGCCTGCCCCTTTGCCTTTGAGGGCTAATGTAGAGGCCGAGGCACAGGAAAGCAAAGTTTCCTCGGAAAAGCACAGAGATGGAAACAGGGTAGGGGCGGGTGTAGTTGTCGGGATAGGGCTCGGGCTCACGTTCCTAGTGTTTTTAGCCACGGGAACTTGCTTTGTCATGAACAAACGCCGTGTGAATGTCGTCAGAACAATCTCTGTCCGGCCTGACGCTTGAATCCATCACGAGGGAGAGGGAGATCGAGTTTCTTCTTCTTGTTTTCCTGTTCTTCGGCTAGTTTGGTTATGGAGAAATGTACCTTCCTTGGATCGAACAAGAATCTTTCATCTGTAGGAAGACTGAATGTTCACAAGCACACTTCACTTCAAAAAATCAGAAACTAATCTGTCTGTCTCATTACTAAAACCCATGATCGGTTTTTATTTATAAGAATCAAAATTATGAAACATTAATACCCTTTGCAGATTGCTTGCAGACAATCAATTCTAACTCATCAACACAGTAAACTCGTCAACTGTTCCATATCACCAGAGAAAGTATAACAATGCCACATAATGCATGAATGATCACAGAAGCCAGAGAAGTAGGGATATGTTAACTAACTACCAATTCATGTGAATATACAAGCCAAAAGACCGGTCTTTCGAGCTGTGTTCGTCCAGGAATATCAAGAACATTATACTAAGATACCCAGGGAACAAAAAAGGCGAAACCTTTAGTGAAAAATAGGAATTCCCATCATTTTTTTCTTCTCCTACATGATCGATAATTTCATCGATCCACAGTTCGCAATCTCTGCCATGAACACCAAAAGCCTCAAACTTTACGAAATCCCATGAAGGATAAGTGAATCAAATGATGAATCACCGGCTAGTGATGCGTATAGTTTCGGAGTATTCTTACTCGAATCCGTCATCGGAAG